GATTCTCTTCAGAATTCCTAACGATGCCCTATACCTGACCTGGTTGAGATAGGTCAAACATTGGATTCGGTAGGGTTTATGTCACCTAGACTGCTCAACCTCAGTTGTTAGAGATCTCCTGGTTGTATATTCGTGACGACGCATTAGTTGATGTTGCATGGGTTGTTGCATACAAGTTGTATATAATGTTGTATGAATGAGTTGATAGTGGAGCTATTGTGATAAATATTATGTGGTTGTGTTGTGATGAGTTGTTGATCACTAGGACTAGAGGAGAAGTTTTTAAAGTTGCTCATCCCATTGTGCGGATTGAGATAGTTATGGTGCTCTAAGAGCCCAATTTGTTTAAAAACCCTCCTTGGAAAGTTGTCCCTTGGAGTGGATGATTTGTTGTTCTCCTCTAGGACTTGGTTGGTCCCGTGTGTGGGCAAGGTCGAGGCACACGTGTATGAAGTGATCACAGTATAGGGGTCAGGCCGAGCTATACCGATTACAAGCGGCCAATTTGAGTAAAGTGCGATGTGTTGAAAGTGTTGTTGATGTTGTATATCTATTGTTGTAGGTGTTGTGTTGCGTTAAGTTGCAAGTTCAAAGTAGAATTCTATTATTGTTTATTATATGTTGATGCTATTTTTTATGATTATTGTTGTGAGCTTACCCTAGCATGTTTTCTCTTGTGGTTGGGACTGCAATGATCATACCTTGGTATGCGAGCAGATCAGGATTAGGTGCTCTGCTGGACTGGGTGAGCTTCTTTTTGGTTGGGACTCAGGAGGAGGGTGTATTTAGTTGTTTGGTAGCATTTGACTACCTAGTTGTTGTATAGGATATTATTTCCTACTTTCAGTTATATATATTATGAGACTTTTTAGTTGTGTATTCTCATTATATATATAATTGTTTAGTAGTGAGATTTTATTTTACACTTGACGTTATAGACACTGTGAGACTTGGCGGGTCGTTACAAAATTTTATTTTATTTTCTCTCTTTTATTTATAATTGGTACAATGGGGAGGGATCTAATGTTTTAGTTTTTAGATTGTAGGAATATATTGAAATTTAATTGTTTTGATTTCCTTTTTTTTTTAATTTTATTTTCACACGTTAAGTAGATTAATAGTTTGGTATTTTGTGTTTAATTTTTTTAATTTAATTTGATTTGCTTAAAATAATTGTATGAGGGTCGTGTTTGAGTACTTTTTTTACTTAATTAATAAATGTTTGGGATTTTAAATAAAATCAATATTTTTAACTCATGCACTGGTTGGTGATATTAATTAAATAACAATTCTATCTTTTAATATCATCTAAATAAAAAAAGTTTATGAAATGATCATTTACTATCAATAGTTTTATGTATAGAGTAAATATGAATTGTCTTCTTCAAAAATTATTGTTTAGAAAGTATTCAATATACAACAAATAATAACGTCAATTGAATAACATTTTTATCTTTGATGATATTTGATTACAAAAGTTTAATGACTAATTATTTGTTAGATTAAATTCTTGTGAAGGAATAATTTTTTTTTATATAAAATGTATAAAAATGAAATTTGTCATCTTTTGATAAAATACAAAAAAAAAAATATTGCAACCCTAAACAATTAATAACATTAATTGAATAACTCTTCCATCTTTAACGTTATTGTGAGGGTTTAATGATTAAACATTTGCTAACTTAAATTCTTGTGTGAGTTTCTTTAAAATAAAATAAAGATGTACAATATGAAAGTTTTATTTTAATATAATATAAAAAAATCAATAACATTAATTAATGTTATTGCAAGGTTTATTGATTAGTCATTTGCTAACTTAAATCCTTATGAAAAATTTTGTTTCTTTAATTAAAAATATTAAAATAGTATATTCTATTTATAAATTGTTTTAATTTGTGTAATGGTTCGCAATATTAATTGAGTAACATTCCTACCTTTAATATCGTAGGCCATCAAAGTTAATAGAATAATCATCTGCTATCATAAGCTTTTACACATAAAGTAAAATAAAAGTTGTCTTTTTACAAAAAAAAAAAATCAACAATAGTAATTATTCATAATATTATTTGAATAGCAAAGCTACCTTTAATTTGATCAAATTTTAGAGTTTAATGGCTAAACCTTTGTTAGCTTAAATTCTTATCCAAGCTTTTTTAAAATAAAAATACAAAAGAAGTCCATTTCACATTTTTTTTAAAAAAACATTTTTTGGGGTAAAATAAATATTTGTAAATTTTTATAATTTTACACGATTAATTAAAGATACTATTTTTAACAGGCGGTTAATATCTTCTTTACACATAATTGACTTTTGAATCTAACTCTATTTCCAATGACCTCATTTACTAAAGGGTATTCCAATATTTTTCCCCTAAAAATAAAAAATTGGTGGTGGCTTCATTAAAATATATTTTTTGCGTTATTACAGTTGTGATTTCGGTTGCGACAATCCCCTAAATCAAATTCTTCTCAAATGCATTGTCTGATCAAAAGAAATTGGGTGCAAGTTTCCAAATAAGGACATCTTGATTGGTATAGATGTATATATTGCAGCAAATAAATTTCAAATACATTCAATTAGGATAAGATTCAAAAGAGAATTCAAATCCTTCAAAGTAATGAGACTCTTTTCCTTAGCTAAAACCCCTTCTGAATTTGTTGAGTAGGGTGTACTTGTGTTATAATCTAACATATAAAAAAATATATCATATTTAACTTAAAATAACACATTAACAATTTACATATAGTTTTCATGATTTATCATAATAAAAAAAACTGAATTAACAATCAAAATAATGATAAAAATAAAAATATAAGTAAACTACAAAATAACAATAAAAAAAACTTATATAGCATTATTTTTCTTAAATAATTTTTTAAATTTAGAAGTTAAAAATTGTGACACCCTCTACCCCAACATTAATACACAATAAATGTAAACTAATTTTTCTTTTCTCTTTTTCGAGTAAATAAAAATCTTTTATAGTTGATAACATCTTTCATGATAAAACAAATGTCTCAAATATTAGAAGGTAGAAGATTCACATTCGTAACTCATAAATCATAAGAAGTCAACATATAAGTATTAAAACTCAAGAAATCATATAAAGGAAAATATAGATTAATTCCAGCAAAGGTGACAGTGCCTCCTAGTTAGGAATTAATTTATAACTTTCAATTCATGTAATAAAAATAATATAACAAAAATGTACATTTTGGTCTTTTCTCAAGAACCTTCAAAATTACAAAAAAAAAAAAGAAAATTAAAGCTTTTTAAAATAATAACATCAAAAATAAGCCTAACTATGTCCGATGTCACATCCTATCAGAGCATGCCCAACTGAAGCCTTAAGCCTCATTACCAACATCCTCATGATGTTGATCACCTGCAACATAATTTAAACATATACAAAAATAACAAGGGAGTGAGAAACATCTCACTCAGTTTTAGGTGCAGAAATAAAGGTTAGATAGCACCCCCACACACACACAACAAATATAAGTCACATGTAAACACTACACATACATCATCAATATCACATATACACTCATTTATCATGCAATGATGTCATGGACTCGACTCATAAATGCATGCATGTGGCACCATAAGGAAGTTTCACATATCATCACTGGTGACCCAAAGGTACACCTGGTTACATCACTGGTAACCCTAAGGTACACCTGGTTACATCACTGGTGACCCTAAGGTACACCTTGTTAGTCGTGGGTGACCATAAGGTACACCTTGTTAGCATGTTACATCGTGGGTGACCATAAGGTACACCTTGTTAGTCGTGGGTATGCGGCCTCAGCGGCACACCTGGAGTAATATATGCATATGATGCATGTCATACATTCATAATCTCATTGACTCAACATTTAACTTATTACATAATTTTATTTAGTACATCATGTCATTATTCTTCATATTCTCATAATCATAACTTGTCTCAATAGTTCATTCTTAGGTCTCATGTCATTTGTCCATATTTCACATGGTCACGTCATAAATACTCCTCATAAGATCCGCACAGGAATTCACAGAGAACATTCTTTTTCATATTAAAACTTATTCATTTTTAACATTAATGACATAATCATTTATTATTTCCAACAAGGAATAAAGTAGAGCAAATAGAAAATCAGATAGAACAACGGCAAGGGATTGGGATTACATAATCATTTATTATTTCCAACAAGAAATAAAGTAGAGCAAACAGAAAATAAGACAGAACAACGGCAAGGGATTGGGGGTCAATCCGACAAACAAACTATCTAACAATTATCCCCACACCCTGAGCGAGGTTTCTCACTCCCCCCTTACCTGGATAAGCAGGAGCTGAAACTTGGGCAGAACCTCCTCTTCTGGATTCCCTCCTTTTCTTTCCCTCTCTCTTTCTTTCTCCTTTTCTTTCTCTCTCTCTCTCTCTCTCTCTCTCTCTCTCTCCCTCTCTCTAAAATTTCACTTTCTCCCTTAGTATAAAATTTTCACCCCCCTATGCCCCTATTTATAGGCATCCTAGCGCACCCTGTGACACCCTTACTACCCCAACACATACATCGAAATAATATAATTAAATTAAGAGGAAAAAACTTTCAATGTTGGTAAAAGGGTTCATATAAAACTTCATAACTGTTCTTTCTTCGATATAAGAAAATGCTTCCGATCTTTCAAGTTTCAGAGGTTGCCCATATAAATAGGAGTAAAGAGATATCAAGAGTAACCCACCTTGTCAGGAAAGAAATCTCTATTGGAATTTGGCCCATAAAGCCAGCATTTGATAAATTCAGATATGTTAAGTTCTTCAAATTGTTGAATCTAGATGGTATCTCAGAACTGAATTTATTATCAGCCAAATTCAATATCTGGAGATTTTGCAGACTGAAAAGATTACTTGAATTGTCAAATCCTCCATTGATTGATTCTCCACTCAGATCAAGGCCAATAACGTGTCCCTCCTCATCACAGGCTACACCCCTCCACCTCCACTCACAGCAAGCTATGCTTGTAGATCAAAGTTTTCAAGTTTCAGAGGTTGCCCATATAAATAGGAGTCAAGAGAAGAGATATCTAGAGTTACCAACCTTGTCAGGGAAGAAATCTCTATTGGAATTTGCCCCATAAAGCCAGCATTTGATAAATTCAGATATGTTAAGTTCTTCAAATTGTTGAATCTAGATGGTATCTCAGAACTGAATTTATTATCAGCCAAATTCAATATCTGGAGATTTTGCAGACTGAAAAGATTACTTGAATTGTCAAATCCTCCATTGATTGATTCTCCACTCAGATCAAGGCCAATAACGTGTCCCTCCTCATCACAGGCTACACCCCTCCACCTCCACTCACAGCAAGCTATGCTTGAATTCCAGTACACAAGTTTACTAGATTTTCCATGCTCGAATTTGAGGCTGTTCTTTAGTTTGAGCAATGATTGTTGTTGATCCTCAACAATTTGGCCAGATACCCTAGTGAAGTAAACACTGTGGTGTATCCAGAAGCAGTAGCTGAATATGATGGAAAGGAATGGAACGTGTGAATTTCTCATTGGAGTCTCCTGAGAGAGACACACAATGAAACAAAACAATGGCTGAAAGTGAACAGACGAATGATGGCTAATGGCTTATAGACCCTTTGTTTTCCGGTGTTTATGTTCCAATGCAATTTGGCCAGAAAATGTGATCAAAAGTGATTTCTCAATGCTTATTTTAAGCTAGCTGCATCATGCTACGTGTATGTGAGAAAATTGGATCCAAACAAAATAATATTATTTATGTGTTTTACTCTGATCCAACGGTGACAGATTCATGGTGCATGGATGCATTTTAGAATTACTCGTAGAAATTTATGAAGAGGAAAAGTTGAGTGGGAAAGAGGGCTTAGCCAAAGAAAAAGAGTGTAAGATGGTGAAGTAAGTCAAGTCAAAGTAAATCACGCCCTATGGGCCAGTCTCTATTTTATTTTTTCCCTATTTTTCTTTGTCGTGTGCTTTCGTAATTATGTATCCTTATCAGGAAAAAGAAAGAAAGAAAAAACAAATGTTGCCATTATTAATTTCGTTCATTTTCCAAGTCACTTCTAGTCTGAAGACAAAATAATGGAAAAATTATATAAGAGGTAGCATGAAATAATTTTAGGATTAAATGGTTAACAAAATTATTTCTGATTTTAATAAAAATCCTTTTAGTTTATTAAACACGGCTGAATTGGATAAAATTTCTTCAAAGCAGCATAGTGACATGCTATATGTAGGATTGGATTCTTTAACGTTAATACATTGACATGCATCGTCAAATACTAAGAATGTAGATTTAAATACACTATTTAATGTTCTTTAATATTTTATCATTTGTTTTTATTGTCTTTTTTAATAGAATGAATATGCCTGAGCTTCTTTGAAATTAGTCACACCTTTAAGGTAGCATGATGCTTTCCTGACTGAAAAAATAAAATAAGAAAATAAAACATGCTCTTTGGAAAATGTGTAGTTAATACAAAAATTATTTAGAAATGACACGTAAAAATGTTTTATTCCTTCTTGTAGAAAAAATTGGTAAGTAGTTTATTAGATATAATAAAAAGTGACAATTTGGTGAGATTTTAATAACATTTATGGTAGCAACAAATATTTCTAGTTTGAAGAAAAATGAAGTGAGTTTGCAAATATACTTTGAAATATTTGTAAAGGTTATCTTCAAAGTCAAACACTACTTATATATACAAAGCTTGATTAATAGAGAAATAAGTGACTTATTTTGATATCTTAGCAATACATTCTTTTGTAGTAGTTATCTCTTTGTAAAAAGTTTTCTTGTTCTATATAGTCTTATCATGTCTAAGCTATTAATGATTTTTTGATATTTGTCTCTTTAATATTTTAATTTTTAGTTTTTGAAAAATAATTTTTTTAGTTATGTTTCTTGTAAAATGTTTTTTTTTATATAATTTTTATCATTTCAAAATCTAAAATCAATAATGTTGTTTTCTTAATGTTTATTTTAAAAAATATAAAAATATATTTATCTAGATATGTAGTTTTTTTTATAAAATGTGACACTGTCAATATAATATTAGACACAATTAAGATGATTACTTAGTTTTAGTGTACAATATATAAGATGTTAACAATTCGTTTAAATAAATAACTTAATTAAGATATTATTTAATAAGTTTATATATATATATATATATATCACCTACCACTACGGTCCGTTCCAAAATCGGAACGGCCCGTTCTGGGCCCTTCAAACCTATGCATATTTCTCAACTGGAATAGCCTATTCCAAAACCAGAACAGCCCGTTCCAAAATCCAGCAGAACGGCTCATTCTGCTTCCAGAACGGCCCGTTCTCCCAACCAGAATGGCCCGTTCTCCATTTGGAACGACCCGTTCTCCTTCCGGAACGACCCGTTCTCCTTCCGGAACAGCCCGTTCCAAGGCCGTTCTGCAACAATAAAACAAATTGTGTTTCCTCTTTCAGAACGGCCCGTTCCATATTTGGAACGGCCCGTTCCGACACCCAGAAATATCCTTATTCCTTTATTAAAATTACGAAAATGCCATTAACAATAGTAATAAAAAAAACTGGGTGTTATACACCCGGAACGACCCGTATTAAATTCGAAACGGCCCGTTCCGGATCCTTCGAATTTGTGCAAAATTTTCAACTGGAATGCCCCGTTCCAAAATCGGAACGACCCGTTTCAAAAAGCAGAACGGCCCGTTTCAAAAAGCAGAACGACCCGTTGACCATAGTTGGAACGGCCCGTTTCCAACTGAGGTCTTTAGGCAATTTCATAACCTTGGAACGGCCCGTTTCCCTTTGGGAACGACCCGTTCTGGAAATACAAAAATGGGTCCTTTTCTTCTTTGGAACGGCCCGTTCCACTTGTGGAACGGCCCGTTCTGGTCCCTCAAAAACAACTTATTTTCATTGTCTGGAACGGCCCGTTCCACTTTTGGAACAGCCCGTTCCAGCCTAAAAGAATTTATAAAAATTTTCATAAATGATTTTAAATTATTAAAAACCTTTACAAATATTTTATAAAAACCCCTTTTAATTAACCAAAATAACTTATAAAAATAATCTTCATAATTATATAAAAATAGACAATAATTGATATTGCTATAGTAGAAATTCCGGGGTGTTACAAAAATCATAATAAAAAATTAGCAATACAATTTTATAATTTATATCTTCTTATAAAATAAAAACATAGAGAATTAAATTAAACACTCCTTTCGATCCTTATTATAAAACATAATTTAGAAGAAAATGGTGGTCTTTATATTAAGGGCATAATCCATAAATTTATCTATAAAATATTTTTAGAGAAGAAAAAAAAGGTTTTTCATTAACTAAAATTAAATTACAGATAGCTTTAAAAATATATTTTAGATAAATTAATATGATAAATTTTTATAAAATAGTTTATCTATGTAGAAAAATTAATAAATGTTTACAGAAAAATTTATTCAAATAGATAATTTAGGTTAATAATGACTTTTGCATACAGCAAATTAGTTGGTAGTAGGTAATGCTATGTACATCATTAGGATTTCTCTTTTTCAAAATAAATATCCGCCTCAAATAGAAATGATTTTACAAAGATAAGAGAAGAAAAAAAAAATGGCTTTGAAGACAAGTAGAGTTAATTTTAGGTGTATAAACTATAAAAATTTTAATCGTATACTATACCTCAAAAGTTATTCTATTATTTTTTTATTGGAAGTATCTTTTGAATTCCTATAAGCAATGTTATCTTAGTTTTTTAATTTTTAATTTTTAATTTTTAATTTTTTTTTGTAATTTTAGTTAAAATAATTTTTTAATTTTTATAATTATCTTTTTCAATCATTTTTAGTCTTTATAATTTAATATATATATA